GCGGGGGGGCAGGGAGGTGCATTGGGGGGGTGGGCCTGAGAGAGGGGAGGGGCTGTGGGAGGCAGGGTGCATGAGGACAGCCTTGAGGGAGGCAGGGGAGGCCAGGGACAGGAGGAGAGTGTGAGCAATGCACAGGTGGTAGGGGAGGTGGCTGGGCAGGAGAGGCCCTTGTGCAAGAGGCTGTGGATCGGGGCGGAGGGAGGGGGTTGGGCATGACTGACATGTGTGAGCAGGGCGGGGGATCCCTGTGTGTGACATGCCCTCCTAAGACTGTGCTGGTGAGCTGGGTGGGGGAGGGGGAGGTCCACGTGTGAGGGGTTCATGTGACCGCACGTGCTACTGAGACATGGGGGTCCCATCTGACAGACCCTCATACAACCATGTGTGCTAGTGTGTGACACCAGGGAGGGGGTCTGTGTGCACGACGGGCCCTTGTACAACCATGTGTGCTAGTGAGTGAGATGGGGGGAGGGGGTCTGTGTGCACGACGGGCCCTTGTACAACCATGCGTGCTAGTGAGTGGGGGGGGGAGGGGATCTTTGTGCACGATGGGCCCTTGTTCAACCATGTGTGCTAGTGAGTGCAGGGTGGGGCATGTGTGATGGGCCCTTGTATGACTGCGTGTGCTAGTGAGCGGAACAGGGTGGGATCTTTGCATGCGAGGGGCCCTTCTGTGTCTGTGTGTGAATGAGATGAGCAAGGGGGTCTGTATAATCAACAGGCCTTCACATGACCATATGTGCTAGTGAGTAGGTTGGGGGGAGTCTGCTTGTGGGATGGGCCCGTGTATGGCTGCGTGTGTGAAGGAGAGGGGCAGCGGACTTGTGTGTGCAACAGGCTTTCCTAGGATCACGTGTGTTAATGAGCAAGGTGGGGGGAATCGGTGTTTGTGACAGGCTCGACTCTGTGTGCTAGTGAGTGGCGCGGGATGTCCACAAGTGTGACGGACCCTGGTATGACCACGTGTACTAGTGAGCAGAGTGGGGGAGGGGTACATGTGACAAGCCCTTGTACAACTGACTGCACATACTCGTGATCTGGGTGGGGGATGCCCTTGTATGACCACTCATGCTGCTGAGCAGGGCAGAGGGGTGACCAAACCTTTCCTTGGACAGCTTGTCCTTCTGCCCCACACCCGCCCCCAGGGTTTGGAACAAGACCACGGCCTGGGGAATGCATGTGCCTGCATAGACTCCTAGAATGGGAAGGGACCTCAAGAGATCAAGTCCAGTCCCCTGCCCTCATGGCAGGACCAAGCCCTGTCTAGACCAGTGGTTCCCAACACGGTGCCCATGGGGGCATTTGTGTGCACCTGCCAAGTGCTCGGGGCTGGCCTGGCCCCGGGCACGTGGCGCACGGTGAGCGCTGGCCCCGGGGGCGCCGCGGATTGGCCACCTGCACTCTGGGCACGCGGCGCAAAGCGCTAATGCCGGCCCCGGGCGCGCGGCGCTTGGGGGAGGGCGGGGAGAGAGCGCCCGGCTCCGGGCACGTGGCTATGGGGGGGGCCCTGCCCCCGGGCACGCAGCTATGGGAGGGGGGCGCCCTCTGGCGCCCGGCGGGTGAACGGCCACACCCCCTAGCGCCCGGCAACCTTAAATGGTTGGGGACCACTGATCTAGATCAGTGTTTCTCAACCAGTGGTACGAGTACCTTTAGGGGGACTTTAGAGAAGTCTGCGGCTCCGGGCACGTGGCTATGGGGGGGGCCCTGCCCCCGGGCACGCAGCTATGGGAGGGGGGCGCCCTCTGGCGCCCGGCGGGTGAACGGCCACACCCCCTAGCGCCCGGCAACCTTAAATGGTTGGGGACCACTGATCTAGATCAGTGTTTCTCAACCAGTGGTACGAGTACCTTTAGGGGGACTTTAGAGAAGTCTGGGGGGTACGTCAACACAACTGAAATTTGGAGAAAACTGAATGTTTGTGTTAAGTTTTACAGCGCTTTATTATTTTTGTACTTTTTACACCCAAAAATGTCAGTGCCCACCCAGCTATGATTAAGTTGTTTAAACAAATGTGTTGCAATGGTAGGACAAAAAGTTGTGTGTCTGAAAACTGTAGGTACTGGGGATACTTACAATTTTTTGTAAAAGGAGTACTTTATATTAAAAAAAGGTTGAGAACCACTGATCTAGATCATCCCTGACAGGTGTCTGTCTAACCTGCTCTTAAATATCTCCAGAGATGGAGATTTTACAACCTCCCTAGGCAATTTATTCCAGTGTTTAACCATCCTGGCAGGAAGTTTTTCCTAATGTCCAACCTAAACCTCCCTTGTGGCAATTTAAGCCCATTGCTTCTTGTCCTAACATCAGAGGTTAAGGAGAACAATTTTTCTCCCTCTTCCTTGTAACACCCTTTTAGTTACTTGAAAATCACTATCATGCCCCTTCTAAATCTTTTATTTTCTAAACTAAACAAGCCCAATGCTTTCAGTTTTCCCCCATAGCTCATGTTTTCTAGACCTTTCATCATTCTTCTTGATCTTCTCTGGACCCTCTCCAATTTCTCCACATCTTTCTTCAGATGTAGTGCCCAGAACTGGACACAGTACTCCAACTGAGGTCTAATCAGCGCAGAGTAGAGCGGAAGAATGACTTCTCGTGTCTTGATCACAACACTCCTGTTAATGCATCCCAGAATCATGTTTGCTTTTTTTGCAACAGTATCACACAGTTGACTCATATTTAGCTTGTGGTCCACTGTGACCCTGAGAACCATTTCTGCAGTACTCCTTCCTAGACAGTCACTTATCTATCCTCCAAAGCACTTGCAGCCCCTCCTAATTTGGTATCTTATGCAAATGTTATCAGTGTGCTCTTTATGCTGTTATCTAAATTGTTGATGAAGATATTGAGCAGAACCGATCCCAACACTTGTTATGCTGCAGATCTTGTGCCACAGCTCTGGGCACTGAAAAGGGGGTGCCGGGGAGGAGCAGAGCAGCCCCTGGCAGGGGGGAGTCTGTGGGAGCCATGGCCTAGCGGTGGGATGTGTGGAGGGAAGGGGTCTGTCTAGCACCTGTGAGGTCGGAAGTGAGGAACACAGTCTCTGACCGGAGTCATTCCTGCCTTGGCAGGAACAAGTCTGGGATCTGGGGCTGGCGCTCGGAGAAGATGGAGGTGATCAGCGGCTATGAAGCCAAGGTAACACCCTGCTCCCCATACTGAAGGTTCAGGGGATGGGAACCCTTGCTGGGAGGGGAAGGCGGGGATAGGGTAGGACCCAAGCAGATAGCAACATGAAGCCTTTGCCTGTGGGGGTCTCACAGCTTACAGTTCTCCAAGGCAGCAGAGACAAGCTTGGGAAATGGGACCCAGGAGTAGGAGGGGTCCCTAGGGATGAGCACCCCCTCCAGCTCGCTGGGGGAAGACCCCAAGCTAGCCAGAGGGAGCCAGGTAACAGCACGAGGGGTGCAGAGATCTGGGCAAGCTGAGCTGCACCCTATGTCCTGGCAGGTTTACAGCGCTAGCAACGTGGAGCTCGTCACCAAAACGAGAACCGAGCACCTGTCGGACCAGGACAAGTCCCGCACCAAAGGTAACATGCCAGCCCCGCACAACCAATCAGAACATCCCAGCTGAAATGGCTCAGCCCCTCCTCAGACATCCAGTCGTGGCTCCCCTCTTCTCCCTCTGCCACACCCATCCCAGACACCCAGTCCTAGTGCTTGCCCCACACACCTGCACAGCGTCCAACCCCCTCCCCTTCACCTGCCCGTTCTGGCCTCTGCCCTTCATTCCCCCTGCCCCCCACCCACAACCAATCAGAACATCCCAGCTGAAATGGCTCAGCCCCTCCTCAGACATCCAGTCGTGGCTCCCCTCTTCTCCCTCTGCCACACCCATCCCAGACACCCAGTCCTAGTGCTTGCCCCACACACCTGCACAGCGTCCAACCCCCTCCCCTTCACCTGCCCGTTCTGGCCTCTGCCCTTCATTCCCCCTGCCCCCCACCC